TTTGGCCGGTGCGTTGCTCGCGCGGCCACTGTCGCAAGCGGAGCAGCGGGGCGGGGACCGCGCTGTCATTATGAAGTTAACAAGCTCCGCGATACGTCTTCAGAGAGTAGGTTATTCCGTTATTTATTGGGGTGGAATCGACGGACTTGATGGAGTCTGTTGGAGTCTGTTGAAACAGCTCCGACCGAGGCGCCGCCGCGGCCGTGTGTCTGCTCTCGTGTCTGTCTGTCCGTCTGTCTGTCTGATGCGTGCGTGAAAACGGCGGGAGCTGGTGGTATGAATGGCAGAAAAGACCGTGGGGAAAAGGGGTAGGGAGGGGGTGGGGGGGGAGTGTAGACCACAAGCATCTTGATGGAAGCGCGCGGAACTCGATACGCTCGGCGCTGTGCATAGAGGCCTTGCTCTGCTCTCTGTTCGCATTTCAAAATTGTTGTTTCGACAGGAATCGATGATATCGTTTTCTCGAATCTCGATAGTTTTCATCCAGTCGGTCGCGTAGTGTGTCTGCATGTGTGTGTGCGAGTGTGTCTGTGTGTGTGTGTGTGTGTGTGTGCAGGTGTGTGTGCAGGTGTATGTGTATGTGTGATCGCACGTGTGTCTGCGCCACGGGGCGGCGACGGCTTCACTATATCGCTCGTTTCGTATCGCAATTTTAGGTTGTTTGCATAAAGTTCTTTTAGAAAAGCATCGCGCACCGATGGAAGGTCGCGATTGTCTGCTTAAAACCGGCCGCGAGCAGGAATATGGGATAGAAGTGTCGCCAGGCCACCAGGTCACGCTGTCGCACGTGCACTTCTAACTGGGGCAACTTTTTTCGTGGCTCTCAATGTGAAACCATAATTGGATGGTTAACATGTTTTCCCTCGTAGAGTGACTTTCACACGTATCTTTTAAAATTCCTGTGTAGTATCAGGTGCTATGACGCCCAACATAGAGTCCCCCCAGACGCCCGTCATAAAGCAGTAATATCACTGTTATTCAGATACTGTGACGTCACATTCTATGCAATGTGAATTGTGTCACATTAGTTTGAATATCATGTCACATTCTTTATTAGAACGTGACATACCGTTTGCACCGCTCTGCACTCAAGAGCTCAGTGCATAAGAGGCCTACCTACCTATGTCACGTGAAAACGAATGTGACATGATATTCTAAATAATGTGACACAATTCACATTTTATAGAATGTGACGTCACAGTATTTGAATAACAGTGTAGTCGACTCGAAATGTGATCGCATACGTCGACGTATAATTTGTACGAATTTTTTCTTCTGATAAACCCTAAGTGTGTTCTTCTATGCAGTAACGACCGCCCAACACTCTTAGTCCCTTACAAACAGCGGTGTTCGTATTACGAAGAATTTGTTTGTAACTTACAAAGGATCTAAAGCAGCCATATTACGAACGATTTTCCTTCATATTACGAACACCCCCCATTCATAATACGAAAAGCCTCGTTCGTAATACAAACCAGGCTCTTCGTAATACAAACAATTTGTTTGTAATACAAATGCTCCAAATCATTTGTACGTTACGAAGAGCAGTTGTTCGTAAGGAACTTACAGTGAACTTATGAAAGGCGCAGAACTTGTCACACACTTGGTGTGCTCAGGCAGGGCTCACGCCGCTCGCGCCGCGGAGGGTCCGTCTCTCCTCGCTCTCCCACGATCCCACCGATAGCGCCACCTCCACGCCCATAACAGTGAATCCTTCTGATCCTGATCCCGTCCGAGGCGTTCATCTCGTTGCTCCGACTCATCCCCCGCTCAAAGGGTCGCGCGCGTCTTTCCATTTATTTTGTTCGAATGGCGGCGGTAGGATTCTCGAGGTGAGTTGTCGGCAGAGAAAAAAGCCAGGCGTGCGAAACGTCCATACTTTTGTAGATGTATAAATTTTGAATCGCACACTTGTACAAGTGTTAAGTGTTTATTCTTGGAATTTTATACATGTTGCATGGAAGCATGTCGCAAACCTGTACTTACAAGTGTACGAAGACAAAATTTACCCACCAACATGTAGTGTGCGACATTTTCACTCTGTCCCGTCACGCAAAGTTTTTTTTTTCCGAGCCAATTATTGACAAAAATGAAGGGCGGCAGCTATCTGAGAGGCGCAGAAGTGCCCACTTTTTTATTTCCTTTGTACGTTCTCTGCTGTGTTGGTTTTTCCCTATAATGGGAATATTGTTCTTGCATTTACTTTACGCCATGTCATAGTTTCACGTGTTTCTTATTTTTTTCCTGCATTAAGATGTGTTTTTTTTGTTCTGTTTTGTTCGCTGATTGGGCTGTTGTATCGAAATGGAGTTGGCACTGCTTTGTCGATTTTACTATTTCCTACACGCCGGCCTTGTTTTTTCGACAGCAGTCAGAGTAGTGACACGTGGACGAAAGTGAGGTCGTTTTTGGCGTCACTTATATTGGCCTCCGCGGATCGGTCGAGGCGAGGTCCGTGGGGAGGACCGTTCGTCTAGCCGTTTTCTCGGCCATAATTACTGTCAAGTTGGTTTTGCGAAATGGATTCGCAACAAGGGGGTGGGCTGACTGTGTGTGTGTGTGTGTGTGTGCGTGCGTGTGTGCGTATGTGTGACGACTGAGGTTGAATAGACAGACATGCGGGCTGAAATCACTTGAGACGTCCGAGACGGTCCATATCAATCATGAGAAATCCGCTGTTGCAGAATGATGTGATATAATAATTATATTTCAATAGGGGCGCTGCGCGGCAGCCTCCAAAAGCGAGCAACAACCGATCTCCGTTACGCAGGGGCTCCGGAAATGAACTTGTACGACCGTGCCTTGCGGGCGTGTGTGCGGAGCGCACCTGATCCTGACAGCATCCGGGGTATTGGCATACCCACGGCGTAAAGGCGTAAACCCCCTTTGTTATTTGCAAAAAATGC